GGAAACCAAGCCCTACCACAAAATTGAGACTGCAAGCTGTTCTGTCAGCAGCTCCAGAGGTTAAATTCCTCTGGGATGCGCTGTCCTTGCAGCAGAGGAATTGCAAGGAGGGAGATTCTGGCCAACAGTGCCTGGGAACTGCTTTTCTGACATCCTCCTGCTTGTAGGACCGTCATTCATGGTTTGTTTTTTTTCCCCAGGAGAGCTGTGCTGGGCGCTGGAGGTGATGCCAGCGCACACAGCCGGTCTTCCCGCGCCCCCAGCTCTCCCCATGGGCTGTGGTGTTGGGGTTTTTTTGTCTTTCAGGTGATAGAAGGGGGGAAAAAAAAGTAACTGACGGGGGTTTGTTTCTTTTGCTGTGAATTGCCACGTTCCCTCCCCTTGCAGGCAATGGAGTACCAGGGCTGGGCAGACACGTTCTTCATGGTGCAGTTCACGCTGTCGTGTGTGATGGGGTAAGGCAGCGCTGCGAAGGCGTCTCCGTCCCCGAAGTCACGTGTTTCGGTGGCCTTGAGCCATTCTGACTTAGGAAATAAGAACAAAAAAATCTCTGGGGACGCCGTTTCTGAGAGCTGCGACGGGTTGGGAATTGTTTCCTACCCTGCTTCGGTGCAGGGTTGGTTGAAAACAAAAAAATAGTTGCTGGGAAATACTGCTCTGGGAAAGAGGGGGAGAGACACAACAACGGGTGGCAATGCCCGAAGTGTGTGCGCGAACCTGATGTCAGCTTTTCCTCCCCGCAGGTTTATTTTGATGTATTCCACAGTTCTTTGCACTCAGTATAATTCCGCTCTTACAACTACAATAGTTGGCTGCATTAAGGTAAGCAGAGACGCGTTGGGCACTCGGGATGCACCTGGCACTGCAGCGGCCCCGACGGGATAATATTTTATATTTTTTTCCCCTTTTTACCTGCTTTCGGCAAGCAGCTTTTCCACTGGCTGCGGTCTGTGCCTTTAGCTCCACCAGTGCAAAACCACCCAGAAATAGCCCCTGTGGGGTCATCTCAGCCGGTTCCAAAAACTGACGGGCATTTTTGGGCGTTGCTCTGGGGTTTTAGTGCCCAGCAGAGGGGGCTGGGGCGGGTGTGGAGTCGAGGGGGAAGCATTTGTTAGAGAAACTTGTGCTCTTGTTGCTAAAAGTCTTGTTCCTTCGCAGAATATTTTAATAACCTATATTGGGATGTTTTTTGGAGGAGACTATATTTTTACATGGATGAACTTCATTGGTTTAAATATCAGGTAAGAATGTGGGGCCGTTGGCTGTTCTAAGTTCTGATCCGCAAGTGAAAATTGCTGCGAAACTGAAACGATTTGACAGATTCTTTTGAAAAAAAGATCGTAAAGGCTCGGGGTTGGTGCCGTCTTGTGGCTCTGGGGAGTTCCTGGACAGACTTGGGTTGTGCAAAAGCCAGAGCGTTTTTTTTTTAACAGCAAATTTAATTGTCAGAGTTGTGTATCCAAATAGTGTATTTAAGGCACCAAAAAAAGCAGGTTTTTTTGTGTATTTCAGCTGGTATTTTAGCCCAGCTTTTGGAAGAGGCTCCTCTCTGGGCTGGGGTGTAGTTCTGTGTTGTGAGAAGTCTCTGTTCTGCATGAAACAAAATAACCTGCTCTTAGGAGGAACCTGAGGATTTTTTTTTTTTTTAGTATTATTATTTTTTAAATTATTTTTTGCAAACTGCCTCACTTCTGTGCCCACTGCTCTTTTGCAGTATTGCTGGAAGCCTGGTGTATTCCTACATCACTTTCACAGAGGAGCAAATGAGCAAGCAGTCAGAAGCTGGCACCAAGATGGATATTAAAGGAAAAAGCTCAGTGTGACCCACCAGAGGCTTTTTGTGGGGGTTTTGATTTTTTTTTTTGGAAGCGACCTCTTTCTGTTCGCCTGATCGCGGGCAGAACGTGGGAAGGAATGCAGGGTGTCTGCCACGGCGTGACGGCGACGCTCCTTTTCATTTGCACAATCTCGATTTGCTGCCTTGACGAATCACCGGATGACCGACCGACTGACTGTGGTGAAGACCGCAGCTAATTAAGTCTGATGGGTGAGGAATTAATGGGGTTCTAATTACGCTGAGATTCGTGGAGGGGCCGCAACCTGAGCGACGGGGGCTGGCGCTGGCTCCGCAGTTTCCCTGGCAAAGGCACCGCTGCAGGATGCTCCTGGGTTGAGCCAAAACCTTGTTGTCGAATGCACAACACTCTCTGAACTTCAATTTCTTAGTGGTTTGGGTTTTTTCTTTCTTCGTTCTGTTAACCCGCTTTTAAAGCTGGGTTTACCCCTCCTTGCTTTCAAAGAGCACTGAGCGCGGGGCTGCAGCGCCGGCACCTCGGCTTTGGCTGAGCCCTGTCCCGCAGTTAATTTTTGTTTAATTTTTGGGGTATTTTATTTTGATGTACTAAGTCCTCTTTGATTTGTGACCCATTAAAATAATGGGATTTTTAATACATCAGTGTTAACTGATTTTTAAAGGTTGTCTTACACAGCACTTCTTTCAAGGGTTCTCTTTAGAGCATCTTTCAGTTTAAAAAGAATTGTTTCTAATTTTCGGTTACAAATTTTTTTGTAAAACAATGACAGGCTTTTTTGTATTCATTGCTTTAGTAACTAGGAAGGCGGTTTCTGTGGGGTCTATCATTTGATTCGGGAAGGTGTCTGCTCAGCAAGTCCCTGCTGCTTGGCAAAGCAGCATTTCCTGAGTGCTTAACATTGACATTTTTAGATGTGACCGACAATTTCTCTAACGGTGCTGGTGAAGACGCAAGGAGTGGGGCAGAATTGGAGAAAGAAAAAAAAAAAATTAAATTTTCCAATAGTTTTTATTGCTCCTGAAAGTTCAGTAAACCTTCTCAGCTTTGCTGTCAGCTGCAGGGCTCATCCTTTATTTTGGGGTCAGAAAAAGCTGGGAAACGCTTCCTGCTGGGCAGAAGCCCCAGAGCTACTCACGCACCAGCTCCAGGTGGGGTTACTGGGCCCTGTACTGGTTCCCAGTAGCCAGGCGGGACTGGGGCTGACAGGCCTCCCTGTCCCAGACCAAAGCCAGGCTTGTGCATTCGTCTCGCTTTCTTTAAAAGAGTATTTTCCATTTTTTATTTTTTTGGCCATGTTTGCTCATCCCGTCGCTGTGTCAAGGCATTTTTTTTCCAGTCAGAATGTTGATTCTTGTCAAAAGTTTTGATTGTTTTGTTTCTGTGTTTGAATCTACTGGTTAGATTTGTCGTCCAAACGGTGAAATATTTTTCCAAGCTTATTTTCTTTGTAACTGGGCACACTTCAGTGCTGGGGTCTGGATGCTATTGTATACACTGGGAAGTGAACAGAGTTCCTACAACAGTATTTTCTATGCTATTAATTGACTAAAATGTTTTCTATAGAGAATAATCTATTTACAAAATGACCATTTTAGTGATCAAAAGAGTGACCTTTTTATTTGAATGTATGGCAGGCTTTATATGTCAAGTCAGTGATGACAGCGAAAAAAATAATTTTATGTGCCTATGTATTTTTGTACTGGCTCCAAAATAAACCAATGACCCAAACTTGCTCTCTTCTCCATCTTCCTTTACTTTAAACCCCTTTTTTGAGTGAAGGAAAAAAAAAAAAAAAGACCAACTCAGGAATTGTTTATGCAGACAGTATGTTTAAAAAAATATTTAATAAGCATTTTTCAGAATTGCAGACAGGGAGTGGGGGGAATAAGAGAAGGGAAACTACTAACAGTGCAAAATTACTAAGTGTGGACAAAAAAAATGTATAAAACTACTCTGTAAATTTGTGTGTGTGTGTGTGTGTGTGGTGGGGTTGGTTTTTTTTTTTAATATGGCAGTTGGAAAGCCCAATGAAGATTTACTCTGTTGAACTGGATGCCCCAGTCAGGCTCCAGTTGTACCTTCTTGAATCCAGGACACCCGCTCCGGCTGAACCCACCACGATAGTGCTTGAAAACCAGCCCCACGGGTCATGTGCAGGCTTGGAAACCGAGTTGGGCTCCAAACTGTACTGAAGGCTTTTAAAATGAAATCAAAGTTAACTCTATTTCTAGATCATTATTTTTTTTTTTTTAAATAGCTTTAGTAGTGCAATGACTTATCAAATTATAGTGGCTGCATTTTGAAGGACACGAACAAAGTATTGTATAAAACACCAGCATAAAATGTAAATTATAATTAAATATTCTTAAAAGTCTAGCGGAGCGTTACATAGTTGTTGATTACGGAATGTCAGGTCTCTTCTATGTATCACCGAAAACAGGTAAGATATAAAATGAAGCAACATTCTGGAAAATATACACAGTGCTGTATTTCACACACAAGCCTGAGACAATTTGCTTATAAACTTTCCTATAAATTTTTGGAGGGATTTCCAACTTGCAAACAGAAAAAAAAAAAAAACACGCATAAAAATAAACTTGAAAATAGGACTCTAGTTGCAAAGACTCTTCGAAGAACTGTATTACTCTCAGTCCAAAACCGTCTCGAGACTGTCTTTGATATAAGGCTGTGATCCTTTGGGTTCCCCTTCATAAACCAGATGGGAAAATTAACAGTGACCTCAGCAAACACTTGATTAATTGATTAACGCAGGCGCTGTGTTAATGAACCTTCCTGACATGCCTCTCCAGGTAAATTTTTGTCTAATTCGAGGCAGCTCTGGCAGCTGGAGCCGATCGGTCGTGACATTTCTGGGGATAGCAGGTTCATACGCTCCGGTAACTCTTCACGTGTTGGAGCCGGGCTGGATCCCGAAGATTTGGCTCGTTAATGACCATCAAGTCCAAGTCCACGTAGTTGGAGAAGAGACCAAAATAAAAAGACTCAGCAGTTGGTGTTTTTAGGTTGATGCAAACCCCATGGCTGTACGTTTAAAAACTGTCATCACAAAGTTGACGTAAAAACAACCAATGAAAAGATTAATGCCGCTCCTGTAAGCCACAGGACGGAGGAGGTGAGACTATAAATTATACAAATGAACAATTTTTCCTATTTTTAAATATAGTAGCTGTGGCTTAACAAACAAACAAACAAAAAAAAATCCCAAAAGGAAACGCCGCTATGAAAAAATCTTTCATGGGTGTAAACCCTAATTCAGCAACTTCCCAGCTGTGCTAGCGGCACCACGCTTCTTTAACAACTTTTCACACTTAAACTAGTTCTCTGGGCCTCCTCTCACTTCTTACACGTGAATGTGCCTATACTGACCGTGCACACGTGTCTGTGCTGCACCAAGTACGTGTACGCGCCGGGTCTGCTCCTGCTGACGTCCCCGTGAGGGTCACTGGATTTCAGCCGTTCCAGCCCGGGCTAAGCAGTCCAGCCATGACCACTCGACCCATTTTCCTCCCTTTCCTGTGCTCGGGGAAATGTAGAAGTTGACAGCTAAGACTGAATAAAAATTAACTCCGTGGCTAAGCTATCACCTGAGCTCCCAGGTTTGGTGAACTTAAGCATTTGGCTGGCGTGAAACTTATCTGAGCTCAAAATAAAATAATGAAAAAAAAAAAAAAGCAAGAGAATTTGTGCAATGCAAGCATCAAGCTCAACAACTTTTTAGCATCACTATTTGCCATAAAAGAGAAGTAAGAAAAAACAGCATGTTTTCAAAATCAAATCACTTCTAACCATTCTCCATGTTAACTGTTCACTGTTTCCCCAGAAGAAAATAACATGTTGGTGACTAATAAGCATTTTTTTTTAAGTCAATTGATTTGGTTTGGGTGGTTTTTCATTATTTTTTTTTTAGAAAAGACTTCAGCAAAATAAAACGAAGCTGACATTAGACTCAGGATATCAATTCTCTCATAAAAGTTTACCAACTGTACAAGTTAAGAAAATTATACAAGCTTTTGTTTTAAGAAAGGACAGTTCAGTCAAGACATAAGTACTGTAAAAATCTTTCAAAGGCTACAAAGGAATCTGGAAAAATACAGAATGTATTTCTTTAGCCCAGATAAAGAATATGGAAAGACATCATTGATGTCAACAATTTTACATAGACAAACCTGACCTGGTTTATTTATTTACCTTTTAAAACTTCTATATATAAAAATAGTTGTGCTCATAACTTTCAGGATTCATAAGGGTTCCTTAACGATGGGATGACAACTTTCCTCTCGCTAGTGTGAGTGGAAGTCTCCGTGCCTACTCTGATGCACGTCTTGGCATTCTGTGTTTCATGTTACTTCATTTCAGCTTCCTGCAACACTCGAACCAGCCCCCTCTGCTTTAAATAGGATGCTTTGTTCACTTGTACAATGCTTGAAGGGTGTAGCACACACACAAGTTTCTTTAATGGATCAGGCTGGTGAGTTGCAGAAACTCACCCATTTGTTTCTCAAAGATCTTTTTAAGAGCCTCAGAGTTCCCGGAGCTGCAGTTGCCAGCTCTGAGAAACGGAATATTTTCCTGCACTGATTAAAAAAAAACCAACCCAACAACCAACCAAACAACCCCAATAATCAAATCTTAAGAGCCAACTAGAAGGTATTAGGAAAAAAATGTCTCAGCAGATTGTTTTATGGAACTGGATTTTGTAAGGTAACCCATCAACCCTGAAAATTTTAGACACCCAAAATTTACTCCACGGAATAAAATCAGCTCCTAGAATTCAGTCATCCAAGGTTTCTAGTTCTTCAAGCTTCCCGTGAGAGTTTGCTTCTTGGAAGAACTCCGAAGAACCTGGACTACTCTCTTTTCCGCTGCTGTTGATTCTTCTTCTTTTTAGCGGTCTTTCATTCTTTTCTTCCAAATCGTTTTCATTTCTTGAAGCTGAATGAGCAAGTTTTGGGTCAACGGAAAGGTTTTCAGTTTCATACCCATTCGTATCCAGATCCGTGTGAGGGGTTTTCTTGCCGCTCGAAGGTCCATTGACGTGCAATCCTTCCATTTTCGCTTCATCTTTATTTGGTATCTCACCCGGCCCGTTAGCAGACACCCCTGCGTTACAGAGACACATCGTAAGAATCGAAGCGTAAGCAGCAACAGAACAATCTGTGACAGGTCGATAAAGCAGGAGCCTCCTTGAACTAAAAAGCCACTATTGTTCTCTGTATCCTCACCCTGGAATCAGTGAGTGATTTATTTGCGTACAAACGACAGGCTTAGCTTGACAGAGTTTAAGGAAGCCCTTACAAGTAAGAGCAGCCAAGAAAAACATCCTGGTACCCCAGAACTGTACGAGCTGCAGGTGGCTGTCCTCATCCAGGCCATTTATGGATCTTCCACTCGATTTTCACAATCTGATTCAGCTCCCAAGCTCCCTCCCTCCTCTTTTTATTTCAGCTGTCCCTTGCTTTTTTGAGGTTTTCTTCATGAGTGATCGTGCTCTGGCTCTTCTCCGTTTCCTACCTGCCCTTCAGTGCCCCACATCTGGTAAAAAGAGCAAATGGTGCTCCTGAGAGGTACCAGCACCACCCAGCAGGCCAGCTCCTGTCTCAGATATTTTAAATATTCTGCACAGGACTTCCCACAAACGTAGCACTACACATCTACGCTAGCACGGGGAAAAAAGGAACAGATCAATCACATTTCAAAGGAAGATTCTAGCAGAGATTCAGCTTCACCATGTGCCCCCTGGCTAAATGCAAACACATAGCTTTCTTATAAAACATTTGTAACTTCAAGCTGCTAACACCTCAGAAAATATTTAGAACTAAAGCAGGCTTGTTTTCCTCATTTGGCTCGTCATCTGCAACGACCTGGCAACTGTTCAGGAGGGCCGGGCCTGCACTTACCATTCTGATTGCTGCTGCTGGTTGTGCTGTCCTCCCTCTCCGACTGGCTGGTGCTGCTGTTGGAAGTGGTGGGTGGAGGGGACGGAGCTCTACTGGAAGCGGCGCTTTCGCTTTCATCCAGGAGACGGTCCATGTAATCCCTGCATGACAGAACCAAGTGCGCTCAGCGTCCGCCGAAAGGATCCACGTCATTCGTACACAAAAAAGCAACATTCAGTGCACATGCTGCAAAGCGTGACCAATTCACATTTTACATCTTAGAATCACAGAATGTTGGGGTTGGACGGGACCTCTAGAGCTCACCCAGTGCCCCCCCCTGCCAGAGCGGGGTCACCCAGGCCAGCCACATAGGAACGTGTCCAGGCGGGTTTGAAAGTCTCCAGAGCAGGAGACTCCACATCCTCTCTGGGCAGCCTGGGCCAGGGCTCCGGCACCCGCACAGGGAAAAAGTTTTTCCTCATGTGAAAGTGGAACTTCTTGTGTTCTAACTTAAACCGATCATTTCTTGTCCTATGGCTGGGCACCACTGAGAAGAGACTGTCCCCTTCCCCTTGACCTCCACCCCTAAGATATTTCTATATGTTAATGAGGTCCCTCTCAGCCGTCTCCTTTCAAGGCCAAACAGCCCCAGTTCTCTCAGTCTCTCTTCACAGGAGAGATGTTCAGGCCCTTGATCACCCTTGTAGCTCTCCCTTGCACTCTCTCCAGTAGGTCTGTGGCCTTATCCTGCCAAATTACCAACCTGAGCATCTCCCATGTTAACCTGCCCACAGATACGGTTTGTCCATGGCAACTCAATTGTTGCCAACCAACCCCTGCAGCCAGTTCAGATAAATTCAGCCTGTGCTGACACTAAGTCCTGTAAGATCACATACAATAAACTTCAACAGGCTGCAATGCCGCTGACTGCGTTTTCAAAGTGATGCTCTCAGGCCAGCTCATACTAAGCTCTCGCGATTCGCCGTGGCAGCGATAATATTCCCTGAAAAGAAGTTTCACACACATACAACCTCGAAAAGGGTAAGGTTAAAAGCACAGGGAAAAACTTCAGAGCTTTCTACTGCAGGCCTATGATTTAGGTCACTAATAGTAAATCTCTTAGGAAAGATTTAAACAAACAAAGCTGGCTGGTAAAGCCCTCCTACGTAGGCTATTAGTCTGGATTAGCTCCAGACACAGAGTATCCTCGCACCTAATTATTCTGGAACTGACACCACACCCTAAAGTCTCACATCTATGTGCAAAATCATTCAAGCATAGACAAGTATAGTCCTGAATGACACTTCCGATCATCACATGCAGCCAACTGTGAAATAATGAGAGAACATTTTAAGCGAATAACAATCAAAAATGTCTACTACGTTGGGCAAAGAAAAGGCAAAAAAAAAAAGCAGATGGAAGAAGAGGGGGAGACAGACAGTCCCTGGCAACTGGGTAAGAAAGCCCAGCAGCTCGGGGTGCTTCTCAGTAACAGCCACAGAGCCCCAGATGGCAACGCGCAACTGCCAGACTGCAAGTTCACTTCAGTGGTCCAACACTCGGCTCCAAAACGTTTAAAGAAAAAGAATAACATTAAAAAGAAGGACCAACAAAGAAGATGAGGGTAAATTAGAAATAAAAAGAACGGTACAGAGACTTGGGGAAAAATATCAGTGGAAAGAGTTTTTGGATACTACAAGCATGGCACCCAAATGAAGGGCAGAAAAATATGTTGGCTCAGTTGGTCAGATTTGAGGGAGAATACTCAGTTATGCACAGATGTTTCCCTCTTTGCTTAGCAGAGGTGTGAATAGGGAAAAAGAACTACGTACACGCCAAGAAACCCCAGGGTAGGGCACTGTGTTGGCCAGAATTCGTGCCAAACGATGCATTTGAGTAGCCTACAACAGCACGTGCCACAAACCCCAGCCGACGCGTGTGACTAATGTCTCTGAATAAAACACACATTTAGAGTAAACCAAACATTTGAAAAAAAAAACCCCACACGTATTTGCAGAAATGTTACATTCGAGAAACATAAACTAAATAAACAAAGTGAACAAATGGTTCAATGCAAATTGTTGGCCTTACTCCAAACAAATGCATTTTAGGAATTACATCATATGCACTCGCAAGCTTTTCTTACTTCTTGGCTGTTTTCCTGCTGTGAATCGGAACCACGGAATTCCTCGGCTGTCACAGCATTTCAGATTAGAGCAGTAAAAAAACCATAAAGATTTAGACCTAATATGTAAAACTTATAAAAATAATGCACATCTTACGTTACACCGGGATGGAGATTGTATTTTTTCTTTCCAAATCGGGTCTGCTGCGCAAAGAAATCGTAACGCTCTGATTTCTTCCACATGTAATAAAAGGCTACACACTCACCAACTGATCTTGTTCGTACCTAGGAAATACGTGCCATGTAAATTTTGGTAAATTTTAATCAAAAAAAAAGCTACCATTTACATCAAAAGGTGTGAAATTCAAAGTCAATGCTCCTTTATATAACACAGGAAACAGCACTAACTATCCACTCAGTATTTCAGAGGCCCAGAAATTGAGATGCTGTTGCTGAGAGTACAGAGGATATCGTGGGGTGGGGCCAGCAATAGCTTCAGGAGAAATACTCAATCTGTTTGACCAGTCTATTCAAGACCACAGTAAGACTCCAGGGATACAGATCTTGCCATACGTTTGCACTTTTCTCAACTTTGTGATCACAGCCACAGTTACAGAGGATTCTGGACTCTGAGAAAACAGTTGGATATATATGTAGTAAAAAACAGAAGGTGTAAATATAGTAATTTATGAAGGAAACTGAGGATAAGAATTTATTTACAACCATGTTGCTTTAAAAAGTGAGGACTACGCTTCAAATCAGCGCTCACCTTGTTTGCCTGAATCACATGGAAATCCTTGCCATAGACTTTGAGCCCTTGTTCGAAGTTCCGACATTCTTCTTCTGTCCAAACAGATAATTCTTCTATAGCAAGGAAATGCAATAAAGAAAACAGTTAACCAAAACAAAAAGCATATGGTCAATGAAAGGAAACTTAAGGGACAGAAAACACAAGTGCTATTCAAGTTTCCTACACCATCTGCCGACTACATGAGAACCACCTCCAGAAATTTCACCTACTAGTACAAAACCCCCAAATTCTCCCTTCTAGTGAGTAGGTGGGAAATTTGGCTGCCTTGAGTAGTTAGTCCGTAAGGTCCATAACTCCAGCCCCGTCGCACAGGGCAAGAGGAAGAAGGGCTCAGAAATGTGGTCTCACCATCCTGCCCCTAGAACCACAGGAGCCAGGTTTCCTTCAAGCCAGGACATGGCACGAAGGAGCTCACGCCACGGACTCAAACTGGTTGCTGGTGTTTGGAAGAAGCAAGGGAAAAGGAATGAGGAGTGAGATCTTCTTCAGTGCTGGCAGGAGCCAGCAACCACTGGCTGTTAATTCTGGTCAGGTAGAACAAGAAACTGGAATGCTTACGCTGGCACGTGGGCAATCTTGGCCCCACTGAAGCCAGAATAACCCCCTAATAACTTTCAGCCACACTTCTGAGAACTTAATATATTTCGGCCTTATTGATTCTTAAGATCACAAATAAATAAGGTTTAAAAGAGGAGGAGGACAAACTAATCTCTGGTTGATCATTCCAGTCCTGTGATTTTTGTGTAGGACAAACGGAGAAGCCGCAGGTTTGAAAGCAGAACATGCAGATCAATGAGCAAGGAAAATAACTTGTGCCTTCTCTTCCTTTCTTGACCAAAATCAGAATGGGAAATGCTCCAAAAGCATCTTTAAGACCAGTGTCCCGTTAGTGTCACACTTTGTTAAATACAAGGGTCAGATGCTCATTCTCCTTTATTCAGAACTGTGAATTATTTAATTTTCTATCTCGTGTTTGTTCCATTAGCTTTGACGACCAAAAAGGTCTCGAAGAACAAAGAGCGAAATGCGCAAATCAGTTGCTAAGAAGTAATTTTAATTGTTAGCTTGTTCTTCTGAGTCCCAGATACAAACATCAAGCTCTTGTGACAGGAAATTCATTTACTTGCCCGCTTTCAGCATGGGCCTGTTACTACTACACCTGCTAGTTTCACTCTTGCAGAGAAGAGGTTTGCTCAAGAATTTTCTGCATTTAAATGGGTGTAGTCAAGCTCTAATAGAATTTCTCAGGCTGCTTACAGCAAAATTCAATACCTGCATAGCAAATAAAATGAGAGTTCAACAATATCAAGTCAACTTTTCAGGGCATGCTCACCTCTGGCTGCTTTCACATTAAATCTCAGCCTTCGTAATGATTCTTCAGTATCAAAATTGCACTTAACCAGTTCATACAACGCCTGGAAAAATGAGAAGACACACATCTATCAGCCTAGATACCACTTGGTTTATATTGTGCCACAGAAGCATACTTAGTAAACCGCTAATACCTTTTAAGAAAAGATTAAAAAGAAACTCCTTGAATGAATGTAATATAATTTAAGACAGCACAAAGCTGTATTTCCTCTGTTTAAAATTCCAAATCTCTAATTACGAGATCACGAACACATCCAGGCATACTATTCCAACATTTTCATCCACAGCATACGTCTGTAAAACTGAGCAGGTTTTTTTCGTGTGAAGAGGAAAATAAGTATGCATTCATATAGCTCTAGACAACCCCTGTAACTGAGGGAGTAGAACTCATTCTTTTATAAATAAAGTAATACACCGATGCAGAAAGCAACGTTAAGTTTGAGTTAACAGTTTAATATTTGTCGAGAGGTAAAAAACGCATCATATATTTCTATCTTCCGAAGGAATAATAAAGCGGTTTCCAACACTATTTTAATTCTTCAGATAAAATCAAGGGTTCGTTCACTCTGTAATACTAAATTTCAAATCCAAGTTATTCTCATCTACCTGCTCATTGTCTTTAATATGTGATCCTTCAGGAATGGCATCTAGGCCCTTCTCATCACCCGTACGCCTCGATGCTTCATTTAGGAACTCGATCACTTTCTCTTCTGGTAAGAAGTCAGGATTCCACAGCAGCTGGTCATCGTTCTCATACACTGTGTGAAGCACAGGAAAAAGACAAGCAAGCTAAACCAACAATACCCAAGTCTATTCCCTCTTCAGCCAGCACGAACGGAACACTGTTTCAGAAACTAATTAATGTGTTTTCTTGCAAGATGGAAACTGAAAGGAAACTTTGATAAGACATTGCTATTTCTTTCCAAGAAATGCTTTCTGAAACAAAATCATTCAGGTAAAGATTGCTGAATTTTAGTACTACCAAATCTCTACTGTTTTTTTCAGAGCTTTCAGACCAGGGAAGCCACAATTAGTGGGAGAAATATGGCCAAATGATACAGGCTCTGAGTTATCTCCCATTTGCAGGAATAAAACATCACTACAGCAAAATAAAGTAAAATTCAGGTTCTTAAAAATCCCAAACAGAATCAGGAAGGGACCCAGGCCTTGCCTGGGGCCCAGTCTCCAATGAAAGGTAGCCTTACAAAAATGAGCAAGAAAGTAACTTTAACATTTCCCTTAGCTCAGTGAGGATGTTTTAAAAGAGAAAGGAGCAAACACTTGAGAAAGCGCCGTCACCAGGGGAAGGGAAGATCCAGCAGCATTCCGTGCAGGTGGAAAGGTCAGAGTGGCGACTAGATGCATCTCTACTTGCAAAAACCCCACTATTTTTAACACAAAAGCAGACTACAAATAGAAAGCCAAAACCGGTAAGGAAAATTATTAAGTGTCTCATGAAGAAAGAGCTTTATTTCATGACCAACACGCTACACTCTTTGGAAACAGCTCCCGACAATTTCCTGGGAGCTTTTTGTTTCCATGGCTAGTCCCAATCTAACGCTTCGTTGCTCGTTTAAGAAAAAGAATCCAGATATCTTGGGATACAAACTCCAGTAAAAGTAACTTTCCAGTTGCTTGCTCTATCTTTCCAGGATATAAACACCAACTGGTTCTCAGGCACCCTTGAGGATGCAATGGTTATGAACGACAGCGGTCAGTAAGTCTCAAAGCAGTTTCCAGAGCTATCTTTCGACTGCAAGTCCAAGCCTCCTGCGAAAATATCTTTTCATTTTGTACATTTGTCAGAACCTGCAACTGTTTAGTAGCAGCTAATTTGGTCTCCAGGCATATTTATCCGAGAGCCAGTTCACTGTTATTAACTTAGCGTAGATTACACGGTCATTCTTTCCTCACACCAGCGTGTCAGAACACACTCTGGAAAGCAATGGGGTTATTCTGAAAGAGTTCTAGCTTTTTTGTATTTCTGCTTACAGGACTGGATACGAAAGGATCAGCCACTTTAGTGTCTGGGAATTTTGCATTTAGAACTTCCTCTTCATTAGAGAGCAACTAAATATATAACCTCAGCCATCTACCTTTCAAATAAATAAAATTTAAGCTTCATTAATGTTCCAGTTGGAGTGCTGTCAAAGATTACATCCAAAACACAGCAGAAAGGAAAGAAGTGGCAGAAGATAAAAAACCCCACTGGTGTATAAACCTAGAAGGCCCCAGCATGACTAGTGAAAATTTAACTTTTCCCCTCAACAGGTTTAGCCCATGACGTGGGTTCTCTGTTCTGCAAAGAGCAGTCTGCAATACTACGGAAAACTGCTTTATATAGGTAACTGTAATGCACAAAGCAGCTATATCTTTTTTTTATTATTGGAGGCCAGAAGCCATTTAGAGCTGAGTAAACAGCAGGAAAAGCAGGTAATGAGTAAAGAGTAATTTACTGCATCGCAGGCAAATATATAGCTCAAGCTCTCCCTTCAGCAAAAAAGCAAGAAGGTGAGAGAAGAGCAGCTCCTTCACAGCTAAAAAGCAGATGTTTTCTAACTTGCCATTTTTCTCTTTGTAATGGAAGCTCCTGATTTCTCCCACAGCTTTAAGCTACATTCTCTTCAACCTCTCTGGCTACAAAGTCCAGAGCTCTGAGTAGATGCTCAGATTCTAGGAGGGCCTCAAGTTTTGTGCTTGTTAGTTCAAAAACTAACTTACAGAAAAGGCAGTCTCAAATCGCCCTGCAGCGCAAACAAATTCTTAGTACTGGGCTGAAGGAGCAGGGAAATTTGTTACTCTTAAGCTCACAGCTGAGTTTAAACTGGGTCTGTCTCTCCTGACTTGATTACATTGAGAGCATACAGCCAAAGGCCTGGTTGTGAGGGGGGAAAAGTTGCTGAAAAAATCCCAGAAGTAGAACATGAGGCTCTTTAATACTGATTGAAGAGTTATAAAATGTGAAAATCAAAGCTGCTGGTACCATTTTGCTTCTTTCAATGTGTTAATCCAATCCCAGCAACTCAAGGTCTTCATTATCTATTTTGTCTTACATAAACTAAATGTACCATAGAACATAAGCTGCACAGAAAGCCTGTGCACATTACTGAACTAGAATACAAGGGTTCAACAGGCAACAGGATGACAATATAATCTTTTCAAAAACTTAAGCTCTGATGGTGAAATACAGGATCAACCACAGTTTGAGATGATGGTTCTTTTTTTCACTTGAAGGAGCTCTTATTTTGCAAGACACTTGACATCAATCACATCTTTTCTTTCTCCCCACTAGAAAATAGTCTCCAACACAGCGATAGTGGTCAGAGTGCTAAGTCTCACCTTTTTCATTCTCTTTGTACTTGCATGTGCCAGCTGGAATTTCAGCTTGAAACATAGAGCCCACCATGATCTCCTGTTTCGAAATAACAGAAACAAGAAGTTAAGCAAGCACAACCGTGCTGGTTTTTGTTAGCCAACAAGAGAATGACCACATCTTTTTTTTACCCCTTAAAACATTTGTAGTTGAAAATTTAAAAGGTAACAGGCACCACGTGGAAACGGATTTCTGATTATTTGGGGAGGTCTTTAACTCATCTTACTATCAAAACTCTTCTATTTACGGGGAAGAATTGGGGAGGGTTTGGGCAGTCCATAGAGCTCGGAGTTACTAGGTAAGAGATCAATTCATTGCTCACGAAATGCAGGGGTTTTCAACAGCCTTAAAATATTTACCTTTTTCCAGTCTTCTGAGGGAATATAATCTTCATCTTCTTCTGATTCCTCTTCTATTTCACTATCTGCAAGAAATTGTTTGCGTGTTGACACAAAACAAGCCTTGACGGGGCCCGCGCAGGCCAACCTGTGTTTTAGGGACAATACTCAATGCTTCCGTTGCAAAAACCAACCCACTCAACGTTTGCGCTGAGACTGGAGTAAGATACGTAACATGCTCTGAAAATTTAAGGCCCAGATGAGTACATCCATCAATTTTTACTACTACCTAGTTGAAATTTCCTTTCCTTCACCTGTCTTTAAAGCAGTTAGAGATGATCCACATCCCAATTCACTACAAAGTTACCTTCTGAAAGGGTTTTTATGCCGATGTTCGGCATCCAAGCGTGGGTTTCAACACCATTTCTCAATTTTCCTGGCGTT